ACAAACGGTCGTTGTTGACCATCAACGACGACCGTTTGTTGGCTGTCGTTGAATAGCAAATACGGCCAGATCTGGCCGTCAATGGCCAGATCTAGCCTTTGCCGGCCAGATCCACCGTGGATCTGCTCGAAAAATGTCATATCGGCGCACGACCGACAAGATCCAGCCGGTCATGCGTCGATACGGCGACTCCGGCTACCCTCCGACGGTAGTGGCCGGCGGTCCGTATTTGAGGGTGGGATTGGGGGTATTTTTGTTAACTTTTAATGTTTTATTATAGGGGGTATTTTGTAAAAAAGCAAACATAAGGGGTATTTTATTAATTTATAAATTCTACATCGTAATACCCGCCCAATTCAACTTTTTTTTAACTTTTTTCAACAAACTTTTCCCAAAAACACAAAATTGTGAACCAAACGGAGCCTAGAAATTTCTTTATCATATATGTTTTATGTCATGAATTTTACATTCAATGTTACAATCGTATGTTTGATGTTTCCAATTTGACACTTAATGTTTTATGAGTATTGTCTTTTTTTATTTTTTTTTATTTTTTATTATGATGTAGGGCATCCGAGCCAGTTTACGTGCACCTCAATTAATTCTTCAGGACTTTGAAACTATCGACCGAATAAGTAAGAGCTCCAATGGTTATCCTTATTAATAATTGAAAATTGACTCAAACTCATAGCTTTTTAAGTAATACATTTAAGAATTTATATCAAACCACTCGATCACGCAAAGATAGTTATGAGTATTGTATTTAGTTTCTCTGTGTTAAAAAAATCTATGTATATAACAAACAAACCTATAACAAGATTGACTTTATTACATATCGACTTCAATTGTATTAAAAAACCAAAAAAAAAAAAAAAAAAAAAAAGTCTAATACTAATAGCCCTTATATATATAATTGGATTTCTTAAACATCTCTTGCATACATATATTGATTATTGTGTCAGGGAATATGTATCGTCCATGTGATGGGTGTAAAATTCTGACCATTGAGAATATATTTAAGTGATACACCGTATATATTGCTATCTGCAATTAACTTGTGGAAATATCGCAATTCGATTTTGGTTCTTACGAAATATGCTTATTGTATTATGTAATGTTGTAATTATGGTCAAATATGAACAACCACTTTCGTGCAATAGGGCATGCCCAATTGGAATGAAATGGCTCACTGTTTATGACTCACTTCCACCACACCAGCAGTAAAGACTAAAGAGAAAGAATTTAACACTTACTTTATTACATGTATACGTGTGGAAAATATGATTAATGGGAAATTTACGTTTCTAAAATACCATCAAATTTTGCTATTTGAAAACAAGCAAAACTGAAGTCTTAATGCATGAACTTAAAAATCAAACTATTTGAAATGGTAATTTAAGATAAAACTTTGTTGATTTTTCCTTATAATATTGTCTGATTTTGGAGCTCAATTTCGATCAAATTTCCTTCATCTTAAGTTTTCTATATTGTCAGTAAAGTGATATTATTTCCACATCTTACATTTTACAATTATTTAACTGAAGTCAACAGATTCCTTCTTGAAAAAATTATAAATTATGCAGAAAAAAGGGCGTTTTGATCGTGCTAAATTTAGATCTAATTGAGTTTTTTTTTTTTAATCGGTTGTATCATACGAACGAAAATAAATTATAAATAAAGAGACACAGAGGAAAATCATTAGAGGAAAAATAGTCTGATTGTTGATCTTGATTAATTGAAGAATCATTGTGATCATTAATTGTACCTAATTAATTTGTTTTAAAAATTTTAAATTACAATAGTTTGATTCTTAATAATATTTATATGTGATTCCCAATTTTTGGTGTAATTGATGAAACCGAAATACTATTTAGGGTAGAACTTACCAAGTTTTAACTATCATTGGGTGGCTAAGTGAAGCGATAGGGACTCTTGAAAGTATTACTCAAGAGGTCTTGAGTTCGATTCCTCTCGATTGTTAATAGGGATGACTACTGAAGGGTTTACCCATGGTTAACTTTAGAAACTGACCCAAACACCCTCGGTAAAAATAAAAATAAAAATAAAAAAATAAAAAATTTACCAAGCTTTATTAGATCATTTAATGACTTTTACTCACCTAAATAATGACTTAATGACACTTTCTCATCCATGGATTTTTAAAATACCAATTTATTATCTAAATTTATATTTTGACGGCCAACAGAGAGCAAACTCGGTCCAGGCTGTTGGGTTAATTAGACTTGAAATATTTAGGGTAGAACCATGCTTTAATAGAATTAATTAGACCAAAAATTTGTTTAGGGCAGAACCATGCTTTAGTAGAATTAATGAGAACCTAAATTTTCAGGACTTTTTAGGGAGTGATGAATGCACATTTTAAACATGTATTTGATATCATATTTTCAAATTGCTTTCAAATTAAAAGATATAGAAATTAGGTTTTTTTTTTTAATTAATTTTTAGGATTGTATTTGAAACCTGTTTTCAAAAATATTTTTAACTCATTTCAATTGAATAAGTTTTGATAAATTTTTTGAATTTTAAATCAGTTAGACCATACCCATTTTTTTTTTTTTCGGGATAAACAGTATGACGGAATGGTAAATTCAGAAGCTCTTAAATACAATTACTATTAACCCTAAAACGTTTCAAATTAATTAATGTGTTGATTTATAATATTTTTAGTGCTAATTAATTAATGATTTTTGTTTTTGATTGGAGGTCTATTATACCAATCACCAAATGATGTAAATGTCGAACATGCATGCTGTTGTTTGATCTGCTCTCTGGGTTGACAGTAAATGAGTTTTCATTAAAATAATCATAATAATTAAAAAATAGTAAATAAGGTTTTATTTAACACCATATGAATACATTGGTATACATAATGATGTACTAATATGTGTATTAATTTGATGATTTGACAAATACATGGGTATACATTGCTGTTATAATATGTACGTTTTACGATTTTTGTTTATTTGAATATACGGTAATATTTGTGGTGTCCATTTACTCGAGATTTTTTCAAGTTTTATTTTCCCCAGGTATTCAGTGATGACTTCTCAATTTTTGTTTTTTTAATCTACGATAATTTATAATTCGTCTGTAGTGTTCAAGGACTCCGTTTGGCTTATTTTTTTTACCCATATTTTCAATCCTATTCCCTAAATATTATTTGACACATTATTTGAAAAATATTAGTCTATTTTTTTAATTATTTTAGACCCCTTAAATTTATTAATTTTATTAAATACTCCCAGAAAAAAAATTTAAAAATTAACAAAAATACCCTCACCCACCAATACTTGCCAGATTCCGGCAACCACCATCGGTGGTAGCAGGAATCTATCACAACGGTCTACACCACCACTGGAAATGGCTGGTAATTCACTGATCTGGCCATTTCCAGCCAGATTTTCGGTCAGATCTGGCCGTCAGAGACGGCCAAAGAAATGGTCGTTGTTGACAGTCAACGATGGCTAAAGATGGACTTTTCCAGTCGTCGACGGCCACATCTGGCCGTAGATCTGGCCGAAAAAGGCCATATCAATCCCATATCCGCCAGATCCGACCAGTATGTGTTGCTACACAATTTTCCGGCCAGATTTCTGTAGTGGTGGCCAGAATCTGGCACTGCAGGTGGTAGGAGTGTTTTTGTCATTTTACAATATTTTTATATATTGGGATGTTTATTAAATTAGTAAACCTAAGAGGTTTTTTATAAATTTTTAAATTTTGCCTCATAATACTACTTTATTCAACTACTCAATATTATTTCCAAAATTCTATCCAAAATAATAAAACAAACGAACCCAAGACTTTTTCGAATATTATTCTTCTTGAATCTGATGAAAGACTCGTTGGTTTTTCTTTCTTTAAGTATTCTATAAGTTATAATGGGTTTGTTGTAGTCAAAATCTTTTCAGCCATCATTTTCTTTGAATACTAAGATTTATCGATTTTTCTTCATTTACGTATATGATTATTCGTAATATATCTATTCTATTCAAGATTTCTTCAACTTTTATATATTTCCTTTTGATATACAAAAATGACTTTTCGTGTTTTCTTTCTTTAAATGTACGATAATCCATAATACGTTTATTATATTCAAGACTTTTTCAGTTATTACTTTCTTTAGATATATGATGATGACTTCTCGACTTTTCTTTTTTAAATGTATAATAATTTGTAATATGTTTATTTTACTCAAAACTACTTTTTTAGCTTTTATTTTTTCCCTCAAAACCTTTCGACTATTATTATTAATTTTTTTGTTTCTAAAAGTAAACGATCATCCATTATACATATATTCTACTTCAGATTTTTTTGATCATTATTTCTTCGCATCCAATACTCAAAAAAGACTTTAATTATCGACTTTTATGTCTTCCCATCCCCTACTTAAAAAAAAACGAGATTTTAATTAGCGGCTTTTATTTCTCCCCAACCGAAGCAGATGCTTCCATGCTCACACACGTGAGGATGTTGTTTAGTCAACTTCAATTAATACTCTCATTGATAATAATACCCCCATCCGCGTGGACTATTTTTTAGGAAACGACACAGAAGCTAAGCTTATAATATTAATTAACATCACCCAACAACTCTAAGCAATTTACCCCTCAATTAACATTACATTAATATCAATTGTCAGATTTGTAGTCACATCAATCCCTACGCAGCATCCACGGTGTTTGTTGATTTCCCTTTAATTTAATTAAATATAATTAATCTACTCGCTGCTTCTTCGTCTCTTGGTCTTTCTTGGACCCCCACCATTCAGTTAATGCCCTGTTACTTTCTTTCTAAATATTTCTATATATAGCTTCTTCCTTGTGCCAACCTTAAAACTTCTCTCAGGCTCAATTCATCTTATCTAGAACCAATTAAAACTTTGATCTATCCCTTTTTTTCGGTTTGGATAAAAAAAACATCTTATCTAGAACCAATTAAAACTTTGATCTATCCCTTTTTTTCGGTTTGGATAAAAAAAAACCATCAGTCTTCCTCTTACAAATTGTCCTTCTTTCATCTCTCTTTGGGGTTTTCTGAAAATCTTGAAAAGTCTTTGTTTAAAGATGGCAGTTTGTTTGGTCTCTCGGACAGGACGACAGCACCAGAGATATGACAACCTGGGCCGTCGCCAAGTTGTAGGGTGAGTATCTTGATTTATAATTTTCTCTGTTTTATTATTCTTCTTCTTCGTGTTGTTTCTGATAGGAAAGTTTTGGATTTGCAGATGCATTCCTTACAGATTCAAATATGGCGAAGATGGAGTCATCAGTGGTGAATTGGAAGTTCTTGTTATTACTTCTCAAAAAGGTCGAGCTCAAGGCCTGATGTTCCCGAAGGTATACAAAAACTTGATGATTCAATTTAATTTCCACAAATTCAACTTGAAAATTCATGATTCTAATTATATCTTCGTGTCATGCATTAATTTATCAGGGTGGATGGGAACTTGATGAATCTCTAGAGCAAGCGGCTTTAAGAGAGTCAATTGAAGAAGCCGGAGTTCTCGGCAATGTTGAGGTGAGAATTATTTGAATGGTTATTGTATATTTTTCAAGTTATTCCATAATTGTATCCATGGAGTTTTTTTACTCTAATTTTAGTATTTTCATTTTACAGCGTGAATTGGGCAAATGGAATTTTCTAAGCAAAAGCCAAGGCACACTTTATGAAGGCTACATGTTTCCCTTGCTTGTCAAGGAACAGCTTGAACTTTGGCCGGAAAAAGATGTTAGGCAAAGAATTTGGGTAGGTTTCTAATAATGTGACTCATCATCTTTATAAATCGCTTATTAATTATTAAATCAAAATCGAGATTTTGGGATTCAGTCGAGTATTCAATTCAAAAGATTAATGTTTTAGGTGATAAAATTGTGCAGATGAGTGCCGCTGAAGCAAGAGAAGAGTGTCGCCATTGGTGGATGAAGGAAGCCTTGGACATATTAGTTGCAAGACTCACATCGACAATGGAACAGAATGAGGAAGAAGAAAATGTAATGTCTTGTTCGTTGAGCTAGAAGAGAGATTAGATCAATTTGTACATAGCAATGAATTTTGCTCATAGCCAATTATTTAGTCTCACCTTCTGGACTTCGTAAAAAAGGAGAAGATAAAAAACAAGAAAAAAAAAAAAAAAAAAATCAACTGGTTTAGGGCAGATCAAGAATTCGGATGGATCCCAATTGCAGACACATTTTGCTAGAAGGAGTTATATAGCAATTGTGTTCTGTCGTAAATTAATTCATGGATGAAGAGAAGATTCAGTTGGGGAAGAGAAAAATATATATAGAAGAATTGTATAAATTAATCAATATATCTATCGGTGCAATCCTTTTTTTATAGAATTAAATCCATGAATTTCATCATTTTCTTTTGGTCTGCAAAGATTATTGAATGCGAAACGTTTATTCAATCCAATAAAATTATCCGGTCGTATCAATCAATAAATCTTATTAATATTTAAATTATTACATAAGTCACAAATATTAGTAATATAATAAGATCTTGCTTTTGTGATTTCTTTCTTCACCATCAATTTTCTTGAAAAATAAAATTCTAATATTTGCGGCCACTGTTTGTTGTACTCAATAATTCAAATAATCTCAACCACTCAAAATTTATTAATTTAATTTTTAAAGTTTTTTTTTTCTCCTCTGAAGTTTGGACATATTAGGTTTTTTAATTTTATCTTCTAACTAATAAAATGTCTTTATAATTTTTATTTTTTTAACGTATTTGAGATATCCAGACCCACATTAGAGTGAGCCTAATCCTTAGGGGCACAGAGCACCCTACAAGTCCAATAAACCAAGATAATTGCACAAATGTAGTAAGTACTTCTCATACGGCTCGAACACAAAATCTCCTAGATATGACTAACCCTAATGACTAAAGGATTTGTCATCCGGTCATAAGAGGAGATGTAATGTCCTTATAATTATAAACACTCAACATCAAAAATCAATAAAAACTTAAATATATAAAATAATACAAGTTGATATTATACAATACAATAATCATATAAAAAGCTATTACAATAACTTATACAAAGATTTAGCATATCCATGATCCACTAAAATAAGAGTTATTTTAATGTATGCTCTAAAATTATTAATGGATAAAATTTTCATATATTTTATTTACAAATAAAACATATTTTTTTAATGTTATTATGCCTAAAAAATCATGGCTGATGTAAACTCAAGACAGCAAGGGCCAATCAGAGTTCAGAAAGCCTTTTTGCCGTCCAGACACTACCACGTCGCACAAGGATAGAAAAGGTAAGACTGTTGTCAGTGTGGTAAGTGAAAGTTTGGCTTGTGAGTGACTAGCAATTGTCCACCTGCCCAAGCCCTACGCTATTTAAGGATATCTCCTATGCAGTCAGCCAATGGGAAGCAGGTTAGGAATTGTACCACACCTGCCTGACTGCAGAATCATGATTATTACATCGAATCCTTCGACTATAAATAGAGGGCTCCTCTCTCATTTACGGGATCCATTCATTTTTAATCTTCCAAGAGCAAACTTTCTCTCTGTATTTAAATTCTCTCTCTAGATTGTAACTTAGCTCGCTACCCGCGACCTGATTGTAATCATCCATCAATACAAATATAGTGGATGTAGGATTCGCTTTTTAGCATTCGAACCACTTTAAAAATTGTTTCTTATGAATTCTCTCATTGCACATTTCCATATCACGTGTAATTTCTAAGTTTGCTTAGTACTTTACACGTGCGAGTCGTTGGTGTCAAAATCAAGTATCAATAGTTTGACGCTAGAAGGGGGGTCTGATTTAGTATCTGCTCTTCATCAGGAATCTCTGACTGATCGGTCCTATCCATCAGCAAATGGCTCGCGGTTTTGAAACCGAGCTAACCAACCTCGATAATGAGGAGATCCCCCAGGTACAGGATGACATTTCTCCCGAAGTGCCTCCAGTCCAGCATAGTACCATGGCAGATATTCCTTCGAGCTCACAACTTGACCCAACTGTGATGGATTACCTGAAGAGGTTCAACAATACTCTCCAAACAGTTAGCCAAATGTTAGATTGTTTGGATTGGGTCGTACCACCAGAGTCCGACGAGGCGATGCCACCGCCAAAGACACATGCAGGTCGCGTGAAAGCATGGAAAAGGGTGAAAGCTCGTAATACGCATACTGCAGCGCGTAAAAGTAAGGGAAAATAAGTGACGGACAGTGGGCTGAAGGGCTCCGAGGAACTAGCAAACACCGGTCATGCAACGGGTAGAATACACGTGGCATTGCGACTTAGCGACATGTCACAGCATGAGTCGTCCCACGCCATGTCGCATGGGCACCCCCACAAAAGTGCAAGGCAGGGAGATTCCCAATATCATTGAAATGATGATCTTGATCTTCATCATGCAGGAAACCCCCATCGTCCGCAGGTCAGTTTTGACTACCGTGGAAGTCGGGAAAACTCCCTAAGCCATTCGATGCCTTCACACGGCCCCAGCCAGTGTGTGTCAAGGTTCGTCAGAGATTTCAATCGAGTTGAGGAAGAGTCTGATTTGCAGTCTTTCCTCAATTGCAACCGTGAGGGTCGAACCCACATTGCAAAAAGTGATCATCAGGTAGCTCCACTACCTCAGATTGAGGAATTACAGCAAGCATTGGATCAGCTTAGCTCAGCAGAATAAGCGTGGAAAGTCGCTGAGGGGTCTCCCTTTTCTCCAGTAGTGTTAGCTACTCCTCTCTCGTCGAGATTTAGAATGCCCGATATGCGAGCGTTCATGGAAATTCTAATCCGTAGGATCACCTTTATGAATTCAACGACCTCATGGAACTCCACCATGTCTCCGACTTCGCCAAATGTCATTGCTTGGTAGTAACTCTAACTGCTCATGCAAAGCGTTGGTTCAGATTGCTTCCCACGGGATCTATCAGCTCGTGGCAACAAATGAGCTAATCATTCTTGAGGCACTTCTAGGAGAATAGGAAGTTCTCGATGCCGTTGAGCTATCTAAGTAACATACGGCATGAGAGGAATGAATCCCTCCAGTCTTACATAGACAAATTCCATAGGGAACTCCACAAGTGGTTCACACTCCCTAAGAGTTTGTTCGGACTCTCACTATTGTAAGGGTTCACTCGCATACTGACTTGTGGAAATAATTACAATCTGAGGACGATGTTTCCCTCACCCGTTTCTACGACCTTACTGAGAAGTATCTTCGAATCAAAAATTTTGTAACCGCTCTTAATCGCCACGACCCTGGTCCCTCGACTAGTGCTCCCTTTTGGGGGGAGAACAGTAGAAGGGCTGATCGCAGATGGGCTAATGACAATCAGTGGAAAGGAAAGAAGCAGCGATTTGAGCCCAAAAAATCTTATGCCCAAGTTCCCCGTCGCGATCGCGATAAAAGCCAATACACTCTTTTGAATGCCTTAGTATCGGCCATTTTGGATAAGTCAGAGGAGGTTAGCCTACTCGGAGAGCCAGAGCCTATGAAGAATCCCTCCTCAGCCAGGAACAACAAAAAGTATTGTCGTTATCATCGAGATAATGGGTATCACACTGATGAGTGTCAGACTCTCAAGCAAGCAATTAAAGACCTCATCAAGCGGGGGCACTTTAAGGAGTATGTTGATGGTCTGACTCCCATTTAGAAAAAGGATCAAAAGGAACAAGGGAAGAAGCGTCGTGGTCGTAAGAGTCTCTATTATGTGGGGATCATTTTTAGAGGACCACACCTCGTAGGGAATTCTCGAGGTGCCCAGGAAAGGTACGCTCAGGAAGCTTGTCATGACCCTGTGAGTGTGAAAACACGACGTCACGACCCGCTAAGGTCATAGGGAAGAAAAGATTACCTTCTCAGAGAAAGACGTAGTGCGATTGCATCATCCCCGTGAGGATGCACTCATCATCACGCTTGAAATTAGGGGTGAGCGGTTCCGGGTACCCTCCATTTTTCGGGGGAACCAGAACCGGAACCGGAACCGAAACCGGAACAGAAACCGAAACCGGAACCACACAGTGCAGGTTCCCAAAAAAAGGAACCGGAACCGGAACCACATAGTGCAGGTTCTTCAATTCAAGGAATCGAAACCTAAAATGCAGGTTCCGCTTCCTTTCCGGGGTACCCTGTAAAAAATTAATTACTCCCCTATTAGTTTAAAAAATGACAAAAATACCTTAAAAGTTTACAAATACACCCCTAACAAATATACTATTTGGATTTAGGGTTTAATTATAATGTAATATTATAATTAATTAAATTGTTAATCATTTAATTAAATATTGTAATATTATCTATAATAGAATGTTATAATTAATTAAGTAATCATACCATAAATTTATAATATAATGTTATAATTAATAAAATTCTAATTATTTAATTAAGTATTGTGTAAATTAGTAAATTAATTACTAATGTTTATAATAAAATGTCATAATCAATTAAGTAATCATTTACTTATGTAATGTTATATTAATTATATGATCATACTATAATAGTATAATGTAATGTTATAATGAATTAAGTAATCATACTATAAATCTATAATTTAATATTATAATTAATTAAATTTTAAATCATTTAATTAATATACTAATGGTTATAATGGAATGTTATAATTGATTAAGTATTCATATTATAAATATATAAGGAATGATATAATTAATTAAATTTTAATCGTTTATTAAATAATGTAATAATATAGTAAATTACTAATGTTTAAATGTAATGTTATAAATTCATAACTAATTATGTAATAATTTAACTATGTAATGCTATAATTAAGTAAGTGATAATATTAATGTAATTATAAGATAATTAATTGAGTAATTATTTAACTATAATGTATGCTTAATTAAGTTTTAAATGAAATGTTTATGAGGTAATGTTATAATTAATTAAATTTCTAATCATTTAATTAAGTATTGTGCTAATATTAATGTAGTAAATTAGTAATTACTAATGTTTAAAACATAATATCATAACTCATAATCAATTAAGTAATCATTTAATTATGTAATGTTATAATTAATTATGTGATCATATTATATGTAATGTAAGTGAATTAAATAATCAGATTATAGATCTTTAATGTTATATTATAATTAATTAAAATTTTAATCATTAATTAAGTAATGTAAAAATATAAGTAGTAATATGTCTAATGTTATAAGTGATGTTATCAATTATAACTAATTAAGTAATCATTTAACTATATAATCTATAATTAATTAAGTGATCATAATATAATGTAAGTAATAAGTTATAATTAATGTTTATAATATAATATCATAATCATTAATAAAATCAATTATGTAATGTTATAATTATTATGTAATCAACTAATCAACTAT